CCCTCAGACTAGAGGTTACCCTCCCTGTATACACCTGTGCTGCCCCACACCCCTCAGACTAGAGGTTACCCTCCCTGTATACACTTGTGCTGCCCCACACCCCTCAGACTAGAGGTTACCCTCCCTGTATACACCTGTGCTGCCCCACACACCCCTCAGACTAGAGGTTACCCTCCCTGTATACACCTGTGCTGCCCCACACACCCCTCAGACTAGAGGTTACCCTCCCTGTATACACCTGTGCTGCCCCCCCCCACCCATCCTAAACACGAGGGGGAGGGCCTCGCTCTGCTCAAGACGGTTCTCCAGGGGATGCGCCTTGAAATGGTGGAGCCTGAGGTATAACCAAGATCTGAGTGATTCCAGTGTTCTCGCAGCCCCAGAACAGGGCCTTGCTAGCATGGTAGAAAGTCCCCTCTGTGAGGACCTCATTTTAAAGCCATATATACTTTTCATTTGGAAAAAATAAAGCTATTATATACATACACACACACAGAATTCATTTGAAGGGGAGAGAGAGAGAGAAATAGAGAGACAGATTGACCAAATCCACTGGTTACTCCCCCAAAGCCTGCAACAGCCAGGGCTGGATCAGGTCAAAGCCAGAACTCTGGAACTCCATCTGGGTCTCCACGCGGGTGGCAGTGACCCAACTACTTGAGCTATTGCTGCCTCCCAGGCAGGAGCTGGAAGTGAGAGTGGGGATAGGACTTGGACCCAGGGGCTGCAATGTGGGACGTGGGTGTCCCAAGTGGCATCCTGACCGCTGGGACAAACATCCGCCCGTTTCAGGACGCACTTGGTGTGTGCTATACTTGCTCCCTCCCCTCCTTGCTAGCGGTTTTCTGGGATGTAGATCCAAGACTGATGCTAAGAGGATGCTATTTGTATGACGTTGTAGGTACAGAACTGTTTCTGGGTTCTCTAAGTAATTCAAGTGGAGGAAGTTTCTTTGAATTCCACATAACACTGAATGTGCTCTGTTCTTCAGTTTCACCCATTGTCTCCTCATTCCTTTTTTTCTTGCCAAATTACGCAACTAATTGCTTCAGCACTATCTCATTTTACAATTATAAACCTAGCACGAGAGCGGCCACTAATTTGAAATATTTATGACTATGTAACTATAGGTGTTTGTATTAGGATAATTTAGACAGGTTTAAAAGCCCCTATTTTAAGATCAGGTGTCTGCTAATAACAATAGTTAGAATCAAAAAGGAAAATGATCCAACATGGAAAGCAGGCCACACAGAAGACACATAGAATGACAAATGCCCTAAAGAGCACTCTGGCCTCAGAATCTGGCTAAAACCCCCTGAGAGCATTTTAGGCATGGAAAGCCAAAACACTGTGGCAAAAAATGATCTATATGAAGGCTCTCTGTGAGTGAGATCCCACTGGAAAGAAGAGGCCATCAAAGAAGGAGGTACCTTTCTCTGAAGGGAGGAGAGAACTTCCACTTTGCTTATGGCCTTGTCTAAATACCTATGGAGTTTGTGGACACCAAGGGCTTCCATAGCCTTGGCTGCCCATGACAAGAGCCTCGGGTGATTACTGACGTCATAAATAAGAGTGTCAATTGTTAAATCAAGAACAGGAGTCACTGTGCACTTACTCCCCATGTAGGATCTCTGTCCTTCATGTGTTGTACTATAAGAATTAATGGTTAAACTAGTCTTCAAACAGTACTTTATACTTTGTGTGTCTGTGTGGGTGCAAACTGTTGAAATCTTTACTTAGTATAGAGTTGATCTGTATATAAGACAATTAAAAATGAATCTTAATGAAGAATGGGATGGGAGAGGGAGTAGGAGGTGGGATGGGAGTGGGGGTGGGAGGGCAGGTATAGGGGGAAGAACTGCTATATTCCTAAAGCTGTACCCATGAAATTTATACTTATTAAATAAAATCTTTATAAAAAATAAAAGTCCCTATTTTCCTCTTCTTTTTGGTTTGTTTTAAAGATCACTAAGTGTTACAGATGTGTGGAAAATAAGGAGAGAACTCAAGGCCCTTCTGTCTTAATACGTTTCATTTAGGAGTGTGCTGTTTCAACACACACTGAGTGGCTGCCCAGTTATGATGTAAGCGACATGAGGAAAGAGGGTGCTACTGCCGCATCGCTGAAGTCCCTCTAAGACGTCTCAGAACGATGCCCGGAGCACGGCCGAGGCAGCACCAATGGCGCTGGGGGCGAAGGAGCAGACCCAGGTTTCGGCTGCAGAGCGCTGGGTCCTGGGTGCCGCTGCTCCCTGGGAGGGCACCCTGGAGGAAGCGGCTTTCCCGGGAGGAGTTCCCATGCTGCGTGGGACATGTGGGGTCTGAGAGTCCTGCACACAATCTCCTGCAACACTGAGGAGGCCGTCGGAGCTGAGTCAGGGATGGGTGGTGAGGTAGCGGCGGGGATACGGGTCGGAGTCAGGGGGCCGCGGACTCTGACAAAGCCACGAGCCGGGGCTGTGGATCAGGAGCGCCACACCACAGGCAAGGTGTCTCAAGTGTCCCCACGAGCTCTGCACCAGCCAGTGGTACATGCTGGACCCAGCGGAATCGCTCCCTGGAGAGAAAAACGGAAGCAGCCCGTCTGGCTCAGGGATGTGGGTCTCCTCTCCCAGGGCCTGGGCTAACAGGAGGCCCCCGTGGTGAAGTCTCCCACCTCTCCTGGGTGTGATGTTGCGAGGGCGACGTGTGGGTGGGCATTGAAGGGGACACTGACCTCCACATTCTGCTGGCAGAGCCTTGCCTGTGTTTACGTGGTTTTTGGCAAGTTGTAAACCACACACATTTATATCAGACAAAAAGCATAAAAATAAAAGGACTCAACCTTGACCCATTATGCCAAGAAGTAGCCACTGTGACGTGCTGATACCCTGTTCTGTTTTTTCTTTCAACTCTTCCTATTTGTTCCATGTATACATAAACATAAGTGTGTGCATGCAGGTACTTGAAAAAAAAATGCAGGCAAATTATGCAGTTTTAGCTCCATTTCTCACAAACTTTTTGAAGTCCTCTTGTGTGTGTATATGCATGTGTGTGCATGGCATGTGTGCATGCATGTGCTTGTATGTATACCCATGAGTTTGTGTGCACATACGTGCACATGCGTGTATGCACACATGTGCATGTGTGTATGTACATACATGTGTGTGTGTTTCAGAACTGACATCATGTGTTGCTCTGTTTTGGAACTCCAACGTCTCCCTCAGGAAAGAGTGGGAGCACCTCCGCCAGGCTCCTACGACTTCCTCACTGGCAGCAGCTGGATGCAGCTGGCTCTGGACCAAGCCCTGTGGTGAGCGTGGGAGGTGGGCTCACCTGTCCTCTCACACGGATCCCGTGAACAAGGACCATTATCAAGCCCCTGCACAAGCGAGTGCCACACTGCAGGTGGCAGGGGCAGGGTGCAGGTGCCGGCAGGCAGTGGGAATGCAGTCTGTGCTCGGAGCCCCAGCCGATCAGCACGGGTCCACTTCAGCATGAACCTGTCTTTCTCATATGGAGCCACGCGGCACGTAGATGACTTGGGGTTTTCCCTAGTCTGGACCGTGTTGACATTAGCCTGTTTTTTCCTAAAATGTGTGTGCGAGTGTGCACCTTGTGCCTGGCAGATGGTTGCTTTAGGATAGATTTCCAGAAGCGGCCTTACTGGGTCAAAGAGCAGAAATAGCTCAAAGTCTTCTGACACTCACTGCCATCAGGACTCCAGGGAAGCCGTGCTAACTCGTGCTGTCCTACCCGACTCTGAGGTTTTCATTAAGACAAACCAAACGACAAGTCCAAGACCGCGGAGCGGAAATTTAGCTTGCCGATTCCTCTGAGCTCCCGTATCTCTTGAAAATGAATGACAGCTGTAACCGAGGCACACCCTCTTATGGGAGGAGCCTGTGCCCCTTCTCCCCCCACATGCCCGGGCAGCTCGTTCCTCCTCATCCCCTCTTGCTGCCCTCTGCTCCTACGGGAGCATGCCAGCCACTGGTTTCCTTAGAACGCTCCAGTGTGCGGGGGGTGACCGTGACTCATGGGGTAAATTCTCTCTCCTTAGGAGACTGCTGATGCAGAGCTGGGGACCCCACCAAGCCTGGCATCCCGCACAGCAAGCCCGTTCTTGTCAGCACGCCCCGGGGGCGTGGCTAATACCACAAGGAGACCACGGGAAGAGCTAGATGTGGCTGCTGTCGGGGATCCTCCACCTCCCCATGCACACATTTAGAAAGGGCTACATGAGCGCTGGCTGTGATGGCTCTGAACTCCTGGGAGCATCCAGGATGGATGGACGCGGGTGCACCTACGGTTGCTGCAAGGTGTCAGGGTCACTGTGAAGGGGGTATGGCAAGAATAGGCTAGGGCTTAGATTTGTTCAGCATTGCAGAGCTGGGAAGGCCACAGGGTGACAGCGGAAGGCGACAGGGCTGCCCAGGGCAGCCACAGAGCCGGAGACGAGGTCACCGGGGAGGAAGGAAGAGACCACAGCCGCTCCCCGGCTAACCACTTATGCTTCACCACGTCCGATATCTCCACCCTGGCTTCTGTATTTATTCCCTTCCCAACCTCACAGATGTCCATTGTCTGCCTGACAGCCATGAACTTGCTCATTAAGTATTTCTGTGCGACCAGGAATAGTGGCAACCCTGGGCCACATTTCTGGGGGCCGTGGTGGCACTTGAGTGGTGCAAGGTGAGTGGCACAGGCAGCCCGGGTTACGGAGCACAGAGCTGGCGTTGAGATGGACCACAGGCACGAGGTGGCGAGAGACGTGGGGACACGCAACAGAGGTGGGGGCTTGGAGCCCACATTCTATTTCGGTCCCCAAAGTGCACACTGGGAAAAGCCTCTGGGACCACCCAGGAGACACAGTGAGAAGGCAGAGCCCAGGAGCCCCATTCCTGGCGGCCTCCCCAAAGTGACAGCGACAAAGGCGGCAGTGCCTGAAAGGGAGAAGAGGAACTTGCTGGAGAATGAGGTGGCTCACGGCCCCACGGTGTGTCGTGCAGACGGTGTCAGGACCTCGCCACAGGGAGAGCATGGTGTGTGCACCCCCGGGAGCCCTCGGGGCGCCGCCCTCCGGGGCTTCAGCGTCTGGAGGGAGCAGGAGCAAAGAGCTCCATGTCCTGAAGGGACGCTGGCCAGAGCATGGCTGTGCTGGCAGCCGCAGAGTCCTCACTGGGCCAAGTTGTAGATTCTGGACCCTGGTCAGAGGTCCAGGAATCAGCCAGCTTAAACAAACACATGTGGCGGCACACAAGTGGCCACAGCTGCAATCCAGGGCAGGCACGTGGCGAGCCTCAGTACCAGGCAACTCTGATCTCCCTCCCGGGCAGAGCGTGCCCCCCCCCCCAGCACACGGACAGCAGCGGGAGGGCCCTGATGTCTAACGACCCTCACACCTCCCTGCAGCTGTGGTGGTCCCAGCATTGATGAGGACGGCGCCTGTGAGTGCAGGGCCAGGAAGGGAGGTGGGGCCCTTGTGGGGGATGCTGCCGTGGGGTCAGGGCACCGCCTAACTCTGGATGTGGGGCCTCTGGGCTTGTTCGCTGCGTAAGGCAGAACCTCCATGTGTCTCTGGGCTGAGCCCAGTCAAATTCATTTCATTCAGGGATGTCTGCAAGCAGTCAGTGCACATTCTCACTGTGGGAGAGCATTTGGTAGGATGCGGAAGACCAAGCCAGCAGGTGCCAACGGTTATCCTTGGGATTTCCACATCCCATATCAGAGATTCTGGTTCAAGTCCTGGCTCCTCTGCTTCCAAGCCAGCTTCCTGCTAACGCACACCCTGTGAGGCAACAGGTGATGGCTCAGGTACCTGAGTCCCTGCCCCCTGTGTGGGAGACCCGGATGGAGTTCTGGGATTCTGGCTTTGGCTTGCTCCAGCCATGGCTGTTGCAGGCATTTGGGGAGTGAACCAGCAGATGGAAGACATCTGTCTCTCTGTCTTTCTAATGATGATGATGATAATAATAATAATAAAAACCAATTCAAAAAAGAAAGAAAGAAAAAGTCCTTTTTGTAAACACATTCATACAAAGGATTTTTTGCATGCAGGAACCAAGCATGACAAACACTCAGAGTCTAAGGCACCAAACCCTCGCACAAGGCAGGGATGGGGAAACTCAGGACCAAATAGCCTGTTCTGGCAAAGGGAGAGTAACAGGTGCACCGTGCAAAACAGCAGGAATTTTGTGGCCGCATGAATTTGGGAAGAGCTTGGTTAAACCAAACCAAAGCAGGCTTCTTGGCCAGGGAATTCTATAGCGTTTTGCCTACTCAGGTGCACTGTGTGGTGACAGTGACGGGGGTCCCCCTTTGCGGCGTCCGTGAGGGTTGGACGCTCTGGAGTCAGAGGGAGGTGGAACAAGAACACGGGAAGTGCACGACGCACATCTGAGAACTGGGAGTCACCTGTCAGAGTGATGGGACAGGCGGCCTCCCGGGCCCCTGGGGGACCCCTGGACACTGGCACACCACCGAGGGCACAGGGCAGACACGGGACTGGGAGCTTCCCCTAGCTGAAGTCCCAGGCAGCCTAGCAGAGGCCAGGTGTCTATCAGTGATGAACGCTAAGGGGGAGGCGCCTGACTCGAGTGCTCTCTCTGCCAGGCACAGCAACACGCCCAGTGTCACGTGTTCCCGATGACCCCCGATGAGGCCGCCTCAGCTCTGATCTCCGTCCCACAGGCGAGGAGCTGAGGGTAAAAAGCTCTGTGGGGAGGATTGAGCGCCGCAGCCTGGCCATACAGCTTCAAAGTCCCCGTGACGGACGCCCCCGCGACAGCTCCCTCGGGGCCCCCTGCTGGTTGCGGGCTTGCGGCTCGCCCTCCCCGGGAAGAGCCCACACATCCCAGACTCACCGTTTTTCTCCACCGGCACGTGGCACCGCGGACAGGGCTTGGTGGTTTTCTGGATGGTGTCCTTGGAGGCCTCTTCCCAGCGAGCGAGCTCCGCGGCTCTCTCGTCCACCCTGTAGGCCTGCGGGGAACACAGACGGAGGGGCTTGAACCCACAGCCGTGCCACTGGGGCCGGGGCGGGGGTTCCCTGATGCACAGGGAGATGAGGGAACTCGGGTGTGCTGAGTGGCCGGTGGACAGGCGTGGCCCAGGCCTTCCAGCTAGGAGAAGACGGCTCAGTCCTAGAGTGCGAGGTCCCCATCCTGGGGTTCTGTCGGAAGTGACAGCCATCGGGCGTTAGGGGGAGAAAGGCTTCCTCGGGTGTGCAGTGGGCATGCCAGGGTCCACGTCACGCTGAGCGTGCGAGGTGGGCCACAGCCCCAAGGCGGGGAGCATGTGGCTCCGAGGGACCCCACATCTTTCTTCTACATCTGTAAGCCTTCCTTCTTGCCCCTGGAAAATGGGGAACTCGGATGCTGCCAGCCCAGGGACAGGCACCAGAGCAAGCGGATGGCAGAGGAAGGCAGTGGGGGTCGGGAGAAGCCAGACGGTGAGACCGTGGGCTGCGGAGCCAGCGCCACATGTGTGGGGACTCTGGACGCACTCCTTGGCCTCTCTGAATGCTCTCCTCCCTTAGACGGATGAGAAAGGTCCTGGTGCACGGCGGGTGTCCAGGGCTACGGGAATTCACTTCCTTACAGACGCAGAGCAGGAGAGAGTGAGCTCCCGGGCCTCACCGAGGCATTCCTGCCGCCCGGGACTGGATCATCCCCGAACATCTGCTGTGGTGGCGCTGTGGCCCCCTGCCAAATGTCCCGGTGTTGGGAATTTCATCCCCACGTCTGTGTGTGAATCTGGAGGTGGGATCCTTGGGGGGGATTAGGATGGGGTGGGGTTGTGAGGGTGGGGTCCTCATGTGATGTCTGAGGCCTGAGCTGGCAGCTTGCTCTGTCCCACCCCCTGACCCCTCTGCTGTGTTCCCTCACCTCGTGCTGAGCGGACGCCAGCACCCTGCTCTTGGACACCCTGGCCTCCAGGACTGTGACCCATAAACCTCTAGTCTCACAAGTTATCTGGGATCAGGCATGTCACTAAAGCAGAAGAGACCACACACCACCAAAAGGAGAAGGCTGGGTGGGGGAGGGGGCAGTAGCAGATGTCCATGCTGCACCTGCTCAGCTGTGTGGACACTGAGACCCCCTCCCCCTGACTTTGAGCATGGGACACCACGGGCACACCTGGTGCGTGTGTGGACTTGGCCTGAGCACCTTGTGATCCAGGGAGAGATCGCAAACACATTCATCCCAATAGAGAACTTCCCTCTTGGTGGACTCTGGAGTACGTCATACTGTTTTTCTATGGATCAAAGTTGTTGTGCACACGCACACGATTGTGCTACCTTGCCATCGCGATTCTCAAGCATCGCTGGAGCTGCTGTGTGACTTGAAATAAAGAGCAAGCAGTTGGGAGACTGGAAGGGTGAGAACCCAAACCAGAGATGCTGAAACGTTGGTTTCCAGCCCCCGGGGCTGTGTTTTCAGAACCAACCCAAGACGTAATCAGAAACTCAGCTGACGGGTCACAGGGAATTAGATACAAGCAGAGAGAAGATTGGTGAACTAGAAGCTGGAGCGGATGGAGTCCCCAGACAGCAGCTGAGAGAGAGAAGAGCAGTGAAGAACATGAAAGGAGACGAGGAGGCGGCGGCAGAGTTCAGGACATCCCACACTTCCCTAACGGGAGCTCGAGACGGTGACGACGGACAGCACCAGGGCGATCTGACTTGAGAATGGCAAAGAGGACCGGTGAGGAGTGGGCATTTGGGGCAGCTGTTAGGCACAGCTCAGATGTCTGCATCTCACCTCGGAGGGCTAGGGTTTGAGTCCTGGCCCTGCTTCTGATTCCAGCTGCCTGCTCTGTGCACCTGGGCAGCAGCTGCCCGAGTACTTGGCTCCCTCCTGGGTCCCCTGAGCGAACTGGCAAGTGTGAGAACTCAGCTCATGTCAGTGTCTGAATGGTCACACAGGGGCAGGTTTGTGGATTCTGACTGTGCAGGCCTTGCTGCTGGAGACGCTAGCCTGCTGCCCTCCTGGGGAAGCCGGGGGCACGTCTGGCCCTGGAGTCACACACGCCCTCTTCTACCTGCCCAGGAGTCTGCCGGAAGTCAGAGATAAGTGGGCTGCTTTTTGAGGAGAGAGAAAATGGTTCCTCTTCCTTTGCCATCATCTTTTTCTTTCTTCCTAGTCCAGCAGTGTGCAGGTGCCCAGTTCTTCCTCACCCCCCAGCGCCAGGCACGAAGCTTCCAGAAGCTGTGCTCTGAGATCGTCCCCTTGGCCTGAGCTTCTCCACCTCATCTGGGTGAGCAATGTCCCTGTGCAGCTGAGATGGCTCTAACCAGGCAACAGGTGCGCGAGCTGTCCCCAGGGCCACTGCCCTCAGCCAGAAACTCCAGGCCAGGGAACCGTGGCGAGGAGTCATAGTGTATGAGCAAAACACTGCCCACCAGGTTTATCCTGCTACCTGCCCCACACGCCCAGGAAGGAGCCACCTGTGCCATGGGACAAGGCCCCTTCACACGGATTTTATGTCTGAACACGGCATAAGCCCATAAGCCGCACACACGCACATGCACACGCACACACAAGGATGCTTCAACACAGTCATGGAACATGTGTGTTACCAGCTAATTCTGCTTTTCCACAAACTTTCAGAAGTCCTCATGGAGATTTACACGGAGAGAGAGAGGGAGGGTGAGGGAACAGGAACAGAGAGAGACGGAGAGAGCCACGCCGTGTCAGCACGGCCCAGCCCCGCAGGATAGCGGATCTGGGGCTTGGGCAGGGTCAGCGGTCCGTGCGCCGTGGTGCGGAGTTCCAGGGCACACAGAGACAGGTCTGTGCCATGAGAGTGGCTACAGCAGAGTGGTGGAGTTACTGTGCCTGACTGCAACCCTAGCTTTGTTTTTAGACAATTAATCCATCTATTTGAGAGGCTGAGGGAGAGAGAGAGACAGACAGACAGGAAGTTCCAGTGCCCACAATGGCCGGGTTGGGAGCCAGGACCTCAGTCCAGGTCTTCCATGTGAGTACCAGGAAGTCAACTACCTGAGCCATCACCCGCTGCGTCCCAGCGCGTGCACTGGCAGGAGCCTGGAGCTGGAGCAGGGCCAGGGCTGGAACCCAGGCACCTGGGCAGCGTGCTGCCCTGAGCTGCACCCTTGTTGTGTCTAACCGTGAGCAGACAGCCTAACCCGGGTCCCCACCTGCAGCACAAGTGGCACAGACACACGGCCCACACGTAGCGCGTAGCCAGCATGGGAAGCAGGCTGCAGGTTAGCATGGGCCTGGGATGCTCTGAACACGATCCTTCCTGTGGGCACCATCATCTCCGGGTTGCGGGGCTACATCCACGGAAAAGGCTGCGGATGCCTGGGTGGCCTGCAGGTCCTCACCGAGGTCTGAAAAGGCAAATCGGGGCCCAGGAGCCCCGGCTCACACGCTTTCTACCTGAGGAGACTCGGGCGGGCTGCAAACGGGCTGTGCTTCCTGCTGCAGGGAACTTATCCGAGGCGCCTGTGTGTGTAGACAGCAGTTGGACGCGTCTATTCAAATCGTAAAAGCCAATTCCATAATACGATTGTCATTCGCCACAGAAAGCATAACCGGCTTCAGAGGGGAATGTTCTCAGGTTCTCAGGTGAATGACAGCTTTGAAGTCTCACCTTTCTCATCACCACTCGCCCAGGTGACACGCGAGTGGCCACACAATTACGGGATTGCCTGTGAGCAGCCCGCCCCCTGCTGGTGAGTCGGAGAATTGCCTGACCACTTGCGGCCCTTGAACCTATAATCAATTATGGACTGCTTGGCAAAGGGGGTCACCAACACTTGTTTGGTTGCATTCACAACATTCTTTCTAAAAAGAAGGGTTATTTGCATTTACTTGGAAGACAGAGAAGAGTGAGCGAGAGAAAGTGAGAGAGAGATGTTCCGTCATCTGGTTCATTCCCCAAACACCTACGACAGCCCAGGCTGGGCCAGGCCACATCTGGGAACCCCATCTGGATCCCCCGACGTGGGTGGCAGAGACCTGGCTCTCAGGGTGCGCATTAGCGGGAAGCCGGGTGGGACAGGGTCCCTGGCACTCCGATAATGGGATTCTGGAGTCTTGAGCATCAGCTGGACCCGCTGTGCCACAGTGTCCACCCCACATCCTTTTATCACTGTATACTTTTGGAGAATGTATGTGAAAAACTTTTTAAATAAACCTTCGGGCTGCTGGAGTTTGATGGGGTCCCTGGAGGGGGCTGAGCGCCATCTGGTGGCGACAGGTGCTCTGTGCCTCCCTCTACCTGCTCTGAGTGGAGGCCCAGGTGGACGCCAAGGCTGTTTGCTCAGAGGGTCTTGCTCTAGATGGTGATTCAGGGGGGCTGTTGATTGTTGGTGATGAGGGCAGCGCTGGCCATTTCTGCCGTCGGCCTCCACAGCTTGTCCCGGGTGAGACGCAGGGGGACACCCACTCTGCCTCGGGGCTGGGGGCGGCTGGCTGTTGCTGATGGGAATTTAGGGTAAGCCCGGACAGCAACAGGGAGCCGTGCAAATGCGCTACCCCTCCATGCGTGCGTGCGTGCGTGCGTGTGACAACAGCTTTCTTGGCCAGGTCCCCGAATAGGACAGGTGAGCCATCCCCGTGTGGGGTCACCCAGCCCCGCTCTGGAGGTGACAAGATGACCATGTGTAGTCCTGCCACCCCCCTCTTCAAGCCTGTCAGTGAGTATGGACATACGGCAGCTCTCGTGCTCTTGTGAGAGTGTTCCTTGTCGGCCCTTGCCCCTGCCGTGGCCAATGGGCTGTGTGGCCCCCTGGGGGCAGGGCGGGGCGTGATTCAGACAGGACCGTGGGCAATAGCCTTCACTCTCCCGCTGGTCATTTCAATCTTGTGCTCTTCAAGCTTTGGTTTTGACACCGAATGGCCACACGTGTGTATGGGGACAGTGTGGGGCTTTGATCCAGGTGTGCGCTGCCTAAGGATCCAGCCTGGTGTTTGCCAGTCTCCAACCAGGGTGTTTGCCAGTTTGCCGCG